GTTTAGTGTCCATGCTCCTTAAAACTCTATATGTTAAATGTATTGTATGATAAACGGAGAAATCAGAATCCTATTAAAAGAAAACTATATAAAATACCTAAAGTTTGCAATGTCATTGAAAAAATAATTTTATAAGAAAATACTAAACACTACTCTGGGAGACAAAAGACCTGTACAAAGAAAACAATAAAAGACTACTTCAAGAGATCTACAGAAATGGAAGAACATACCATGCTCATGGATAGGAAGATTGAACATTGTGAAAATGTCAATTCTACCCAAAGCAATCTCTACGTTCAATACAATCCCAATCCACATACCATCAACATTCTTTAAGGATATGGAAAAACCAATCACTAATTTTATATGGAAAGGAAAGAGACCTCACATAAGCAAAGCACTATTGAAGAAGAACAAAGTAGGAGGTCTCACACTCCCAGACCTCAAAATGTACTATACAGCCACAGTAGTCAAAATTGCCTGGTATTGGTGTAATGACAGACACACAGACCAATGGAATAGAACTGAGAACCAAGAAATAGATCCATCGACCTATGGTCAGCTGATCTTTGACAAAGAGCTGAAATCCATTAAATGGTGAAGAGATTATCTGTTTAACAAATGGTGTTGGCAAAACTGGATATCCATTTTCAGAAAAATGAAACAAGATCTGTACCACACACCATACAAAAAAACTAACTCCAGATGGATCAAAGACTTAAATGTGAAACCTAAAATTATAAAGTTCCTCAAGGAAAAAGTAGGAGCAAATTTAGGGGCCTAATATATGGCATAAATAGCCTATCAAGCATAACCCAAAATACACAAACAGCAGAAGAGAAACTAGATGAATGGGACCTTCTACAAGTTAAATTTTTATGTGCTTCCAAAGACTTCTCTAAAAGAGTCAAGAGAACCTACAGAATGGGAAAACATATTTGGAAATGACATATCTGACAAGGGAATTATCTCTACAATTTATAAAAAACTCCAACACCTCAACAACAAAAAGACAAATAATCCATTTAAAAAATGGGCAGAAGACATGAATACACACTTCACCAAAGAGGATATTCAGGCAACCAACAAACATATGAAGAAATGCTCACAATCATTAGCCATTAGAGAGATGCAAATCAAAACAATAATGACATACCATCTTGCCCTAGCACTAGTAGCAAAGTTCAACAGGACAGAAAATAACAAATACTGGGGAAGATGTGGAGAGATTGGGACTCTCATACACTGCGGGTGGAACTGTAAAATGATAAAACCACTGCAGAAAGCAGTATGGTGAGTCCTTAAAAAGTTGGAATTAGAAATACCATTTGACCCAGCCATTTCATTACTAGTATATATCCTAAAGAAGTGAGAACGAAGACAAGGACAGATACATGCACACCCACGTTCATCACAGCACCATTTACAATATCCAAAAGATGTAAATAACCTAGGTGTTCATCAACTGAAGCATGGATAACCAATCTACAGTACATACATACAATGGAATACTGTGCAACCCTAAAAGTAATGTAGAATCGGCAAAACACCGCATAACGTGGATGAACCTGGAGGACATTATGCTGAATGAAATAAGTCAATCACAGAAGGACAAATAATGTGTTAGTCTGTTATTGTAACAACTCAAGGAAAGGTTTATCTATGTAAGGAAATTTTCTTTTTTGGTTACCAGGGGTAGGAAAGGAGAAGAGGGAAAATTGCTACACAGGTAGAGACAAGTACTGATTTGGGTGAAGGGAAGGGAAATGTACTAAATGTGAGTGATCAACATGGTGGTATTGAAGAAGAGGAAGACAGAGAGGTAAATGCATGGGAGGTACAGTCAAGAAAGATGAACCCTTTTGCACATACAGTACTGTGTTGTCAATTAAGGCAAACAGGGATGTATGGGTGGAGAGAAGAGTGGAGGGGATGAACTGTTAGGTATGTATACACAGGGGGGAGTGTGCCCAAGATTGGCCGACAATGTTTCTACAAGTCTATTGCTACGTTCTGTAAGAATTCCCAGGTATATAGTAGAGCTGATAAGGGACAAGGTTGTAGTCACTTCTTGGCCATAGCCAGCTACCCAGAGGGAGCAAGGAGTTGGACCTGTGGGCTTGGGACCATAATCACAAAGGACATTAAGCTCAATTGGCATAACATATTATACAAAACATTGTTCCACATCCTACTTTGGAGAGTAACGACTGTGATCTTAAAAGCTTGCAAGTGGCCAACTAGATGCAACAATGGGTCTCTCCTTGTCCAGAGCAAAGAAGAATGAAGAAAACCAATGACACATGGAAACAATTAGTCCAAGTGACTGGTACACCATGCAGTCCTCAGGCTATATGACTATGAGACCAGAAGAGCTAGATGGTGCCTGGCTACCACTGTCAATCACTCAGAGAGGGATCTCTGTGGGATACCCTGGGTAGAGTGGGACAGCAATATGGAACAAAACTCAAAATCATTTGGAAAGAAAAAAAAGGACTACGTTTGCTGGTCTGATAGAGCCTGATGGAACCACTGAGACTTTGGCCCCTAGCTGCCCCTCAGGTCTGGAATTGAATCCACTACTGTGGCTTCCAGCCAAACAAAAGACAGGCATATGAGCTGAACATTTACTTTAGGTAGATACTCTCCTTGGAGAAAGCAATCATGGGAGAAAAGATGGGGTGTGTATGCACAGGGAGACAGCTCAGGGGGCAGGAGTGCATGGAGGGAAGGACACAGGGAAGAGGTAACTATGGGGAGGAAGTAGGAGGGGAGCTGTTGCATTGTGGTAAATTGTAGTCAATGTCAAGAGACAAAGTGTATGTGAGCTGCTGTATGGAAAGTGAATTTGCTCTGTTAACTTTCACCCAAATCACAATAAAGGAAAGAAAATACTAAACACTCTGGACATACGTTTCCCCTTAAATTCATTATTTTTAATTTTTCATAAAAAAAAAAAGGCAATATACAGTATTCACTTCTTAGAACCTCTACGTATCTGGAAAATGATTATTTTATAAACAATAAAAAATAACAGCAACAAAAACATATAAACTGAAAAATGTGGATAGTCTCAAAATTTGCCCTTGCCCTATGAGAAAATTATACTTAAGAGGCCAGTTAAATGTCCTTTCTAAAAAAAGAAAAAAAGAAAAAAAAATTACTGAATGGGTATTCAACAAACATTTCTTGAACAATTAGCATGTACATTGTTTTAGATATTGAAATACAAAGATGAATCAGAAATTACCTCATCCTTGAAGAGTTAACAAGTACCTAAAGAGACACACATGCAATCAAATAACATGTGACCAATTCATAAAGATCTTATGACTCTTCTATAGGGTCCCTGTGAGTCAGAACTGACTAGACAGCAGGGGGTTTGATTTGGACTTTGATTGTTGTTCAGTTTCATCCAGTCAATTGCAACTCATAGGAAGCCCATGTCACAGAATAGAACTGCCCCAGAGGGTTTTCTAGGCTGTAATCTTTATGGGAGCAGGTCGCCAGGACTTTCTCCCCAGTGTGAGTTCAAACAGCCAAGCTTTCCGTTAAAAGCTGAATACTTAACAGCTGTACCACCAGGATGCCTTTACAAATGACTAGAATACTATAAATGAGTAGTATAAATCATTAGATTATAACTGATACAAAAAGGAAGTAGCACTTGACCTGGGCCTTAGTGAACCATAAGTAGTTAGCATATGAAAATGAGTGTGTGGACAAAGAAAAGAGAGGGAAGGTAAAGGAGTCTCATTCCAGCCAGAAGAGTATGAGGAGAGAGACATGGAGGTATATGTGTTCTTTTAGGGAAGCAAGGAACAGTATGGTCTCCAGAACATAGAGTATATAATATAGGCCAGAGGGAAATTCAAACTACCCACGAGGAGCTTGTTTCATATACAAAAGGAATTGAGATATACTGTATCAGAATGCCTGTTTGTAACAGGCTCTTCAGTAACTCTTGGGTAGCCAATGTAGCACTATCAATCTCTAAATAAAAGTGTTGGCAACCACTACTATGGAGAATGAGGAACCAATCAAGGTTTTAAGCAGTACT